CAAAATAGATGTTCATATAAATCATGGCTCTTGTGAGAGAGCTGTTTTGCATGTGACTTATGTTTATCAGCAAAATTAATTCAGTGCCTGGGATAGTAGCCACTTTTTCCCGATATATAACACAAGTATAGCTTTTAACATTTCTTTGATCATCCATTACTACTATGCTTAATGCTATCACCTATGTAGTCACTTACAGGTGTACCTGCTACAGTCAGGCATACAATGTAGTCGGCATCCTTGATATGAAGTTGGAAATCAGAAAGAAGAAATGGAGGAGGGTATATGACTGATGTTTTTTTTTTACTTCCTCAGTTTAGTTTAAGTATTTTTCCTTTATTCTCCACAGGAATTTCCTAGGTTCTTTCCATTGCACTTCTTGAAAAAAATAGCAAAGTTAGTGGTATCGTACCAAGTCTTGCTCTTTTACTGAATTCCATTTTGATTTTGAGTGTGCAGTGGGGCTGTGTGTTTCGAATCTGCATGTAGGTGGGTGTATGAAGGACATGGGGGCATGTGAGGGAGGGTGAATGTATTTCTTTCATAGAAAACCTTCCTTGATTAGTACTCTGAGTCAGTAACCACATAAAAACCAGTGATTTAGAGAGGGTGTTTGGGCCTTGTACCTGTGGGGTCTCCAAGCTTAACACTTTATCCTGCCTTCTCTCCTTTAATTGGTTTACTGCTCCTGGAGTCCCAGAAATGGCACTCAGTTTACTCAGGTAATTTTGAGCCCAGTAGAGTTTAGATCTTTATACCTCCAGATTCTGTAGCAACAGGAGCTTGAAAATTAAATACTGGTATTTATTTCTTTATGGTCATTTCCAGAGGCTGGGTACTCGAGAAGAGGAAGGAAATGAGATGTGCAGTATCACCTTCCTTAAGATTCTGCTTTGTTTACGTCTCTACCTGGGAGCAGGAGGACTTGCTCCTCATAGGAATGTTGCAACTAGGTGTGTGCTGAGCTCCGCCCGTAGTCTATGCTGTAACCATCTTACCCTCATTTTCTCTGAGATCCTTCAGGTTAACGGGTGTCTTAGCTGGATGGGACATGTTGAGTTAAATGCTCATCTACACGGCAGGGGTATCAAACTCATTTTCACTGGGGGCCACATCAGCTTCATGGTTGCCTTCAAAGGGCCGAATATAATTTTAGGACTGTATAAATGTAATTACCCCTTAACAGTTAAGTGAGAGCTTGGTGCTTCCGCCTGGTAGAAACAAGGCGGAGGGCTGTTTTCAGCCCACGGGCCTTGTTTGCCACCTGTGCTATATGGGGAACTGTTTTGTTTTTTTTTTTTTGCCTGTTTATACTTACATGGCATCCGCAGTGTCTTGAATGCCATATGAAATGAGGGTTAATAGTACCCTATCAGTGTTTAAAATCTCTATGGAAGAATTATACACACACCAATGTATGATCTCCAGTCACATCGATTTACTGGCACAGTGATAGAGGAACAATTTTAAGGAAGTCAAATATAGTAGCTGCCAGGTAAGAAGAGATTTAGGAAGTGTGAAAATGGGCAACCCCTTTCATGTCTGACATTACATCCCTCACACATACCATCATAACGGAGTGCCCTGTCTCAGAGCCCTCCCTCCAGCAGGTCTCCTCCTTACAAGGCACATAGAAACCTGTTCTTTTTTTTTTTGCTTGTTTTTTTTTTTAAGCATGTATTATCACTCAAAAGAAGTATGTATGGAGGCTGGTCACTTCAGTCTGTGGTCTCTTGAGCAGTTCAGCAGTGTCCTTCCTCAAGGACCTGGGCTCTTTGCATTTTCTGTCCTGCTGTCCTCAGTGTGTAGGCTTTGTCCTCATGCTTGTTTCTAGGGTGGCTGCTGTCCTGGACAGCCATCTGTCACACACCAGGCAAGGTTCCACAGCCATTCTGTGGGTCCTCCCAACTGCTCCTTTTTCAGACGTGGGGAGGAACTTAAGCTGGGGGTGGGTAGCATGGGAAAAAACACAGGGCTGATTTTTGAAGAGTTTTGAATAATGTATTGGGCATTTGTTCAAGTTAAGTGACTATTTTTGAATATGAAAATTTATATGCTATGTAATGGATATACAAAGTCTGTCCAGAAGGCACCCAGCCATGTAATATGAAAAATAGAGATATTTACTGATAAAGATGCAAGAAACATTGTATGTAAGATGATGACACCTCAGTCCCCTTCAAAGTAGGCACTGTGGGACCTCACACAGTTCTCCCAGTCACCGTCAGTTGCCCCATCATGTTTTCCTGAATCTCATGAATGGTCTGAAATCTCTTTCCTTTCAAAGGTGATTTTAATTTTGGGAAAAGCCAGAAGTTGCAGGACACCAAATCTAGGCTATAGCAGGGCTGAGTCACCTAGGTGATTTGATGTTTCTCAATAAAACTCTGTAATAACACAATGCATGAGTTGGACATGTCATGATAAAGCTGCCAATCACCAGTTGCTCACAGATATGACCTTCTGAATCATCCAAATAGTTTACACATAGGAATAATCAAGTTTAATGCAAAATTGGATGCAGATTCATTGCTCTTCTTGCTCAGTCATTTGCAATGGCCACAGTGCACATGCTCATTCAAGAGCACTACCACCACCACTGACTAGTACAGTGAAGTCGTCATTGTTCACGCATGTGCATTCCAGTCCACTGTCCTTGGCTGCCAGGTTACACTGATATTGTACAAACCATTCTTGTTATACCAACAATAGTTGGACTTTTTCTGGACAGACCTTATATGTTCCAATGCCAGTGCGATCTTAAAATACGTGAGATTTCAGGGTATGATTTACTTCACCACATCCCCCCAAAACATATGAGTACTTGACAGTGTTCTAACTTGAGGGAGAGTCATATATATATGTTGAAAGTTTCTTCTAAGTCCTTTCCACCACATTTAATTTTTTATTTTAATGTCATGGTTCCCCATACCCATGACCTTAGGGCACTGTAGATACTGAGTGAATACTGCTGGTTGATTGACAGTGGTAATCAAGGTTGACCTTTTCAGAATGAACACATTGGAAGAAGGGAGTAAATAATACACATTGGAGTCAGTGTCTTAGTTGCACTAAAAGTACTTTCTACTCCTTACATGTGAGGCTTGCTCAGAACCCGCTCCTATAAGCTTAGCACATAGAGGAACAGAAAATAGGCTGGCAAACTACCTCACAGAGGTCATTTAGTTCTCTGCATCTTTATCTCATCAGCCAAACCCAAAGCATTTTGTCCCTAGGTCTGTCTTTCTGTTGTCACCATGTCATTTTTTCATTTTAGGTCTAGCCAGGTTTTACTCCCAGCATAACCTGGAACCTCCTCTCCAGTCTTCTCAGCCACTGAGACACTGGGTTGCTCCCTTGGGTCTGTCTGTGCTTTTAGTTGAATTCTAAGCAGTTTAAAGACATTATCTCATCTGGGCATCTACAGTTACATTTCTTTTTTCTTCTCAATGAAGCTTCCTCCTCTTTATTCCCTGATTTGAGCATTATAAGCACATTTCTTTTTGTCATATTTTTAACATATTGAGACTAACATTTTATCTACCATTAAAGGTTAACATGAATATATTTTGCTTTAGAATGAGGAAGAGTAAACTTATTGCATCAAATATCTAATGTATTGGCTTATTCAGTGGTTTGCCAATATTTGGGTTGAATTTTGTCATTTTTTTAGAAGATGGGTCTCCGCAATCCTAAAAGGCTATATGATTCGCTTGTGAGACTCAGGCAAGCCAAGCATAATAAGATTTTATATACATATTGGCTCTTTCAAAGGTGGTTTTTATTTTTAAAGGGAAATTTAAAAAAATGGACTGTAGTGAATTTGTAATTGTATTCACTAATTTCTCAGTACTTTTGAGTTTTTGAAACCATTTTTTGGTAATTACCGTTTTTCCTTAGTAAACATTTATGTGTTTTTTTTTTACTTACTTTTTGTAATCTGATAAGAGTAGAAAGGGGTTAGAAGCCAAATCTGTAGTGGAATGAAGAAAATGACAAAATTGAAACAGTGAATAAAGAAATATATTGTCATTGTTTTTATTGTACACTCCCCAAATTACTGTGAAGATCTTGAGAGGTTTCATTCTTGAATAGAAAATAAATAATTATTCACAGTGCTTTGGTGTACTTTAAGAGTCAAACTGTTAATACTGTTAATTTGTTCAGATAGCAGTTTGTGGGAAAATATATCAGAGATAATTGTTTTTCAGATACAATCAGGTGGATACATCTACAGAAGGTGATCAAAGAGAGTAGCAATAGGGCATTGATTGTTTTTTAGAGATAAAAATATTCTGATTCATTTTTAAACGTTAACAATTGTGAGAGAAAAAGTCCCACCTGGGAAGAAGGTTTTCCAGGTTGCTTTGCTGGCAGGTGTGGGATATTGTGTGGCGTCCTCGCTGAAGAAGCAGTTTTTCGGAAATGATGCACCTCGAGGACCTCAACTTCCTGCGGTGAAAGCTGCTATTTTAAAGCACAGCAGTGCCAGTGTGGATGTTCCAGTGGCCTCGGTGCTGCTTTCAGTGAGGACCAAAGTCCCCCCTGACTCTGAGACAGTCTCAGAAGAGGATACCTGTCTGCTAACAAAACAAGTTCCGGAATGTTTCCAACAAATGCACTGCACCTTCCCTGTTGTTTGTGGGACTTAACTCTCATTTATTAATGGAATAAACCTTACCTGGTTTTGGTCCCTTTTAACAACATCACTGCATGCTACAGATGTGATTTACAGTCATTGTAAAGATTTTTAAAACATCCAAATCATAGGACACTTGGCTCTGAGACCATCCCCATTTTCCCCTTTCCCTTTTTCTCTCTCCTTGACCTAGCAGCAGGAAGCCTTTGTCTGAGGTGTTCATCTGGAACAACTTTTCCACACTTGTTTTCATGTTCTGTTAGATTACAGGGCAGCAGGCCTACCTTTGAAGCTCCTTTCTCTTTTGTTTCTTTGCCGTGCACTCCAGTAATTAACTTTGTCCTTCTTTTATTTGTTCCAGTCAATCGCAGGCCACTCTGCTGAGCATCTTCTCCCAGGAGTACCAGGTTAGAAGTTTTCTCCTTTGTGAGGGTTGACAGGTGCCTAATTGAATGATGAATGTCCCTTTATTTCTTTGTAATTGAACTGCCAGCTCTCTGATTGGGTTGGAGGATGTTCTCCTTTCCACATCAAGCACCGCCTGCGTCTCAGTGGAGGCCTGCCAAGCCTACCCATCCATCTGTCTAATAACATCTAGCCTTTGCTTATTTGGTGGACCTGTAATAAATTATGCTAAACCATTATTATTCTGACAATAATAATTTCCCTGTGTTGCGTGGTTCCATGTGCTAAATGTTTGCTGACTTGCACTGTCAGTGCCGCTTTCCATTGCTGACAGAGATGATGATAAATGACCATTGCTGGAGTGGCAGAAGGCAAGAGAGGCAGAAAATGGAGTCATTTATCATGAGATGACAGATGTCAGTCAAGTGGCAAGTCTCGATGGAATTACTTTTTGTAGTTTTCAAATAAGTTGTTTTTAAGCAATGTTCGTCCTGGTTAAAAATGGCAATTGGATTGTAAAACTAGAGTGCAGAGGACTCAGATAGAATTGAATTGAAGGAAAATTAATACAAAGGTTTTCAGGGAACAAGTTTTTCTTTGCCCTCTGCAACCCTAAGCAAACTTATTTAGATTCAATTGCTCTGACCCTGTTGGCTTTTACATACATACTGTACCTTGTGGTGCAGTCTGAAGACATCCCTGCCAAGCAGTGGAGATTAAAATGCGTAGGTTCATGGACTAGAAGGGAAAAGATCTACCACCACCCAAATCCCCAAACTGTTGTTCAGTTTGCCCCGAGTGTGAGACGTGGGGATGAAGAAATATGTCGTTTTTGTTCTTGAACCTCATCTGTGACACAACATAAAGATCTTTTCTGTTTTGTTTCAGAAACATATTAAAAGAACACATGCCAAACATCATACTTCAGAAGCGATTGAAAGTTATTACCAGAGGTATGACCTGCCTGCCCCACTAGAGGGTATCATAGTACCTATTAATTGTAATCATAATTATGAATAAATTAGGTTACTAAATGAATTTTCTATATAATACTCAAAAGCATTTTATTTTAAGCCTGTTATTTAAGACGCTGCATTTATTTTTGAGTGATTTCTCCAATGCTGTGCCTTGCAGATTTAAAGAATAAAGTGAGACTGCCTTGATTCAGTGTGTGTGTGCACAGTCGGTGCAATGTTAGGAAATCTCCATCCGCTGCTGCAAACTTTCATAAGTGCATGTCTTGTGTAGATCCATAGGTTCCTGTGTACATATACCTATGTGTATAAGTTCTCAAACCAATTATCATTATTTCTTTAGATCAGCAAGTTGAAAAATATATTAGAAAATAAAAATGAATTTTGGTGCAGTCATGTTTTTCATCAAAGGTAATGGGTCAGCCATTACAGGGGGGAAAAAGACATATAGCGAGTAAGGGCATGGAGATATATAATAATGTACAACTGTCATAAAATAGAAGTTTTTTATTTTAAAAAGAAAATCTTGGGAATTAAATTAACATAATAGTGTACATAGGATATTTAATTCCAGCCTAATTTATTATAAATAGTTTTCAAACTCAGTTCTAAAACAAACAGAATATTTTAAAAACGATTTTTAAAAAATGTTCTTCTCTTTGTAATATGACTTATTTATAATGGTAGGTAGTAATGATTTCCATGAGAAATTATTGGCTTCTTAAATATTTCAAGGGCATATTGGAAAGGAAGATTATTTGAGTATATGCTCTTAAATTATTACATGTAAGACTGACAGATCAACCTTTCCATGGTGAGAGTAACACCACTAATTTTAGATGAATTTTTATCCATGAAAACTTTATGAATGAAATTACTGTACAGTTAAAATACTGGTGTCATGCTTTTATAAGGTCATTTTTTAAGAATTGAGAAATTATTGAAGTTCTCTTTTTAAAAAAATTATACATTATTCTGTATATGCTAAAAGATACATTCAGTTTTCACTCATAGTGTCTGTTAAAGAAAGAAAGGTGAACACACACACACAACTTTTGTGGCTAGGAGAATTTCTCTCTAAACAAGTCTTTTTAAAGTGTGAATTGATTTACTCAAAAGTCATAACCTCCTTAATGAAATCAACATGTAAAATAAAGTCATCACCCAAATCGTACACATAGGATAAGAATGGCTTGTGAACTTCTATGAAGCCAACAACTGTTTTGGCATTCAGGCCCTCCAAAGAAAAACTGAGAAGTTATTTACATGTCAGAAATATATCCTTGCTTGTAAACTTATAGTTGTAGGCCTTCGTTGAAAAGTATGGTTCTATGTCCAGATCTGAAAGCCTTGTTAACCTAAGGGAAGGGAGATGGGGCAGTCACTAGGACTTTGGAGACCCACCAGGAGGCCAGGGGTCTGCTCTGACAACCATTTTTCTCATGGTGTGAAGGTGCTTAAGTAGATGATTTCCAAGATCTCTAAAAGCTGCTTTTTAAAACCTTGGTTTCATGAAGAAGCTCATTTAATATTAAATTATGAACATACTTTATTATATTATCTGTGTAGGTTAGGCCAGAAATAAAAATCTTTCCTTTTTGTATGGTTACTAAATGATGATCAGTTGAGTGAGTAATAATGAGAACACATTTGTATCCCTTTACATTTATTTAAATGTGAGAGTCTCAGTTGTTTCAAGGAGACTTGAACCCTGAAACAAAACTGTGAAGTTAGGCTGTAATGGACAGACTAATGGGAAAGCAGTCTGACTAGCTTCCCACTTTGCCACGCTCCCCGACTTCCTGCCCTGCGCTTTGTGCTCAGAGACAGGCCGTGTTGTTGCCTTTCAGACGGACTGACTTTGCAGGCCTCTTAGTACAGATTGTGCAGATTCTGTGTCCTTGTATTCTCTAAGGTGCATTGGCCTTGAAATAGATTTTTTTGTTTTCCAGCTCATTAGAATTAGGGAAAATTGTATTATCTCAAAACATAGTTTAGCAACTTGACAATGTTAACAATTACTTTATTATTTTTTTTGTTTTTATAAAAGCAATACTAACCTATTGTGAAAATGAAGCACATTTGTGATGATTAAAACAAGGAATGAATGATAGCTCATAACGGTGGTGCCCAGTGATGAGCGCTGCAGTATTTTTCATTCTACACTTTTCTCAATCCATTTTTGTACTGATGAGGTCATACTATATATGCAACTGTGAATCCTGAATTTTATCCTTGGAAAAGTGTATATGACATACTGCCACTTTGTAGAAAGCTTTGGTAAGCATTTATTGATTGCATTACTTCATCATATGAAAGTATAATTTACTGAATTATTCTTCTGTGGAACATACATGTTTTCAATGCTCTGATATTTTAAAAACCATGATAAACATTTTGATATATAAGTCTTTACCTTTTTGATTGGTTTCTTAATATTTCTGTATCTATAGTTATTGGAGCAAACAATGAGCATTTAAAGATTTTATTATATATTGCCAAATGACTATTTAGAAAGCTTGTGATGGTTTCCTAGTAGCAATTTTAGAGAATTCCCAAGTCTCTCTGCATTGTTGATAGCATTGAGATGATTTCTATTCAGAATTTGCAGTCTGTATTTAAAAGCATATAATCCATAGTGTGATTCCATAATGGGTATCTGAAACTTCACAGTATCAAAATATCATAGAAAATGTTTTCTCAAACTTTTGAATTATTAAGGAAGTTCCTCTATTTCTCCATGTTGTGTATGTATAGTCACGGCTTGAATGTTTATTTTGAAAATAATGCCCCTGTATTGATGGCATTTTATTTCCAAATGAGAAACATACTTGATAAAATGTGTTCACACACACAGACACACTCACAAATTGCTCAGATTTGCATGTCCCCATCAACAGTGACGTTCGGAAGTACTGTCTCACATTCTCTCCTCCCCCAGCACACACTGTGTGCAGGCCAGCTTCATCAGTTTGCATTTCATTCAATGGGTCATTTTTCTAAGTTTCAGCATTATACTTGTCATGAAAATTTTAAAGACCAAGTAACCTTGCGTTATATTTTAAATCAGTACATAGTATTTTAATCTTAGATGCTAATATATCTTACACACTCAAAAAAAAAACCCCATAAAATGGACCTTCTCTGAAAAAAGGATGTTTTTACCCACAAGACATACATTTGAGAGTCCCCCTGTGGCAAAACTAGAGGGCGACATATATCTCCTGTGCAAAGTAGTTTTTATTTGCAAATAGACATTAGGAAGAGAGCCCAGTCACCTGAACGCAGTGTTCAGGATCACATCCAGATGTCCCAGTTGTGGTTTAGACCTTTGCTAAGGATCTGTTAGGTGAGGTTCAGCATTCATCTGTGTAGCCCTACCACAAGCAGCTCCAAGTTGAGTTGGAGAGAGAAAGAAACCATGTGAAAAGTCTGTGCTGTAAGTTTACATAGGATGCTTTGAGGATGCAGAGAAGGATAAGATTGGGAACATCTGATTGTGTCCTTATTGGATATTTTCTGTAATTAGCATGCGTCTCTGATTGCATATCTAAACATGTGAAAGAACTGTCACTCTATGTGGGGGACAATTCAAGTTCTCTGAAAGGACAATTACAACTTCAAATTGATTTTAACTTCTTTCCCCTAGCACTTCTGAAAGGTTATAGGATATAGTTGGGAAGCAGACTGGGGAACAAGTACATTCAGAAGCAGGTCTACCATTTTCAACATATGAAAGCACCTCAGTTGATTTTGGTTGATGAGGATTCCATTTCAGAACTTCTCCGCTTGCCAGATAAGAGAGCCCAGATGGGTCTCATCAGTACCCTGGGGTTTGGTTTTTGTATGTGGCCAACTGGGAAGCTTTAGCACTTTCTCCGTTGGGAATTTCTACTTATGAACATGCTTTGATATTATATAGACTGTACAGACAGAGTGAGTTATTATTGTTGTTTGACCATCTCCTGTTACTTAAACTTAATAGAAACATTCCATTGATCATTTCCAGGATAATGATTGATGAGGGGTTTACATGAAACCATCCCATTTGGACTCAACAACAATGCTGTAGTTAGAGGCAGTGCTCTGGGGTCCAGCTACTCTCTTCTTATTTCTAACAGCTGTCACAAGCTTGGCTCTGGTCAGACTAGAGCCTTTCCTGGTCCTTGGACACTCAGGCACATTCCCGACATCTGCACATACTGCTATCTCACTTGGCTTGCCCTTCCTACATGGCTTGCCACTGTCCCTCTTGCAGGGCAGTACTCAGTGTCACTTCCTTAGAGATGGGCTTCCTGACCAACCCATACAAGTTTGCATTTTATTGTAGTGTTTATCATTATATTATGTATTTATTTCTCTGTCTTTTCACTGTCTGTTTCTCCACTATAATACAACCTCTGTGATGGCAGGAGCCATGGAAGTTCATGGGGCTGTTGCTTTAGAACCTGGAATAAGGCCTGGCTCATAGTTAGTGCTCAAAAGTATTCACGGAATAAATGAATGTTGAGTAGAAAGTTGCAAAGTCACTCTAATGTCAGTATAGGCCTTGCAACTCTGACCCAGAATCTGAACCCCTAATGAATGTGTACTCTGGGTGGTTACAGACACACGAGGAGCTGGTCTGACTTGACCGAGCTGATTGGTTGTTCCTGCAGCAGGTCTATCAGTGCAGTGGGAATGCTGTGAGTTTATGGGAGGTTCCTACCAGACCTCTTTCCCAGGGACCTTTCTCTAAATCACGCTTGCCATTTTTTCTCCTCCTTGCTTCTGAAAGTACTTATTTCCCAGTTAGAGTCCCAAACAATTAATTCAAGAAAGGCCCCAATATATGGAAAATGGACTTGTTAGAATTACTTTGAAGTTACAATGATCCTGAGACTCTCTCTACCTGGAGTAGTATGCTTTTATTTCACTTAGTTTATACAAAAATTGTACATCTTTACAAGCATGTTTGTGAAATAATATAATTTAATATCTGCTTCTGGTGTCTTTTTGTAAGACCTCATCCAACTTTGATTTTTAGTATCAAACAAATATTGTTAATTTATTCACTTAAACAGTATACTGTAGTGATGTTTATATTTAATTGTATTTTCTTGCCCACTATGGCTTTAAAATTATTTAATTTATTAAAAATATATATGAATAATATCATTTATTAAAGAAAAACCTATATGTGTGTAATATAATCACCTATTATAAGCCTAGAACTGTGCTAGGCTTAATAAATTGAATAAAATACAATTCTTCTACTTTCATGGGGCTTTCAGCCTTATAGTGAGGGATGGGTTGAAGTAGCCAGGTAACCAGGCAGGTACAATATGCTGCGTTAAATGATGGGGAGGTGTACAGGGTGCTCTCTGGTTGTCCATGAGGGACACTAAACTAACTTACTTCTGGTTCATGGTAGATTGAAGTGGGGGCCGGGTAAGCAGAACCATGAGTCCCCCAGGTGAAGGCTGGGGAGGGGCCTGGCCCTGGAAATGCGGCTGGCCTAATAGAATAGGTGGCAGCCGGTTTTTGAAGAACCTCACAACTGCTTGTTAAGTGGTTACAATTTAATTTTGAGATTTAATGTGGGGCCTGTGAAGTGTTTTAAAGAGGAGGATTCATTCAAATTTTTGTTTTAAAAAAAAGCCACTTTGTCTTTTATGTGTGGGATAGATTTGGGGAATTTTTTCCTTTTTTTCTTTTTAGTGGAATTAGAGGATGAGGAGGGCTGGAGGTTATGACAGAAATGCAGAGCAGATAAGGTGATGTCTTTTGTTGCCTCGTAAAGGTGTCCTGACCCACTGATGACAAGTCTGTTCCATTTTTCCCTGAATAAGGTGTCAGCCAGTCCTGTGGAACAAAAGTAAACAAAAAGGCCGTATGGGTTCCCAGACGCTTTTTTCAAGGGAACTTACTTCCTGTCCATGAGATGGCTGTGGTATGGATGAAGCCGGGTTGTTGGGGATAGTTCTTTTCAAAATCACCTGTGTCCCCTTTGCATGTTGGGAAGTGAAAGCAGGGGAGACCAGTGTGTTCACACCTCCTGCCCCCAACTTCTGTGAGTATCCAGTGGTTTGGAGGTAAGTTGTTTTGCTGCCCCTTCCCCGTGGAAGCCTTCCTGTGACAGCAGCATCCTGTAGAGTCGAGCACGGCGTTTGCCCAGGAGAAACGTGTCCACACAGGGGATGCCGACAAGTCTGTGCCGGCCTTTTCTTGCCACTGCATTACCACCTGGCTGTGTCTTTATCTAGGTACCTGAGTGGAGTGGCGGGAAACGGAGCGGCCCCAGTGCTCCTGGAGCTGGCCAATGAGGTAATGTTATTGTTATTATTATTTTTATACCTGCCTAAAACCTAAGGGTCCTATCTAAAGTAGCTTTGCTCAGAATTATAATTAACCCTTGGGAAAAAAAAGATTTTGAGGTACACTATACATTTAAATTGCCCCCAGTCTGTTTGTACTTTCAATAATTGGATAAAGAACTTCCTATGTTAATAAATCAGTTAATATAATTAGTCTGCTTCTTTTGAGGCAAATGTGTAAACAACTTCTTGATTTCTTACTTTGTGGGAAATTTTAACCAAACAGCTCAGGACATGCTCTTCTTTGGTGGTGTTGTCTTAATTTGCTGTGAGAAACACCTGTGTCAAGTAAAGAGCTGTGTGCCAAGAAAATCTTTGCTAACTATTATAACAATGAGGAGAGAAATTGTATGCTTAAAGATGTAACATTTACTTGATTCATTTTTTTGTTAGCAAACATTCATTATAATAAAAGATATGTGCCTTATACAAAAGTCTCTTTATATGAAGAAGCATACTGTTCCTATTAGCAGCAAGTACAAAGTGATATATTGAACTTATTTGTTAACTCTGATCTGCTTCTGTTTAGGGAAACGAATAATAGTCTTACAGTTGAAAAAGGAAGCCCTAAAGATTTCCCATGAATGAAGAAGCTGTAAAAAGTTCATAATAGTTGCAGAGAGCATACTGAAAAAATAAAATATTTAATTCGTAAACTTTAAAATATTTATCCACTGTAATAAGAGCAATACAATATTTAGTCTGACTTGGAACTGCTTATGCAAACCTCATAGGGATAGAATGAAATGTACACTGTTTTCATGTTGCATTATAATGGAAAACATAGAAGCAAGGCAGAAAATGTGTGTTTGCATTAAAGATGACTCGGTACTGTGAGCATTAAGTGTTGCAGTAGCAGCAAGTTCTACATGTTACATTAGCAAGGAAGGATGGCTTCTCTCACAGCTTCTGTCTGCTGTACACACTGCAGTCAGCAAGTGAGCAATTACCTATCAGTTACTGGAAGGCTTTAATAGTCCAGGCAATGTCTATACCATCTGATAGGATACTTAACACATTGGATGCATTTCTCTTCTCCTAGCAAAACTTGTATTTTATTCCTTTTTTTTCTATTTCTAGAGCAAAGTGGCTTTTAAGTGTCTTCAGAATTGTTTGTTGCGAGTCAGTTCTGTTAAGCAATGGAAGGTATTTCACAACTAATATTCAGAGATTGTCTTTATGGAAAGGAAGAGTGAGCTAGCAGCTTCTAGGTGCAGCATCTAGGAAGAATGTGATGCAAACGTGGTGCTCATTTTTGCAGATGATATAGGTGGATCAAGCTTTATATAGTTGCAGTTTATATTCATTTGAATTGTTAATGGGTATTTCCGATGAGCTTAGCTTATTTAGCTGACCTCAATGTCCATCTTCCAGTAGTATGGAAAATTTTAACCCACTAACACATTTTTCCATGTCAATAAACCTGTTATTTACTGTGAATATATAGCAATATTGAACCAAATAAGTATTTATTTAAAGATTTTCCCTCTTTTTTGGCTGCAGATTAGTAAAGGGATAACTGTGCTCTGAGGGATTGCTAACCCATTAGGGAAATTTGGGAATGACTAGTGTCCATCCGACTGTGGCTTCTAAACAACCAAGCTGCCATTTTTATATGATAGTTAACACTTCAATGACATATGCTTGCATCTGGTGACAACCGATGTGCCGGTAATGCTTTATGAATCAGTACGCATGTAATCAGTGGAAAGTGTAAAAATTGGGGGGAGTGTGTAACATCGGCAGGTCAGTGTGCAGCAGCTCTCGAACAGCAACACTGCTGTTGTTGATGTGGGAGTGGGGACTGCATGTGGTCATCGGTGATTTTACAAATGTCTCGATGCCAGTTTTTCTATTCCAAGGCTAAAATGAACATTTTAGGAGATCTCGCTTTGTTAGTAATAATAAGATCAGTCATTCTGTTCTCTGCACACAAATATTTTCAAGTGAGATTTGAAGCACTATGAATTTTACTTACATGCTAAATTCTGACATGAAGCATGATGGCCCTATTTCAGAAAAAGATGGACACATGATTAATATGAAAATTAGGGAGATGCAAGTACCTGAACTAATAAGGTAGTCCTTATTCAGGCTGGACTACCTTCAGTAATTTCACCATTTTTCATGTGTCAGCTCTGATGTGGGTTACTAGGAATAAGCAGCTTCGTGGAAAGCATTTCTTTCTACTTGGGGAATTTAAGGGCATCCAAGTACATACATATTTGAAAAAAACTGTTCATACAAATGAAGCCAGGCTTTTTGTGTAGTTACTAAATCAAGAAAAAATTTTGGTGTGAATGTGGGACTTGAAAACCTGTCAAGAAAAATTCATGGTGATACTGTATGAGGAGCATTTGCTGTCTTGTACATAAGATAAAAAGACTTGTTTTAGGGGAGCATCATTGTTCTTGAAAAATACACACCAGTTTTCTTGTGAAATTAAATCAATGGTTAATAAAAGATCTGAGAATCAAAAAGAAGTAAATCCATTTCCAAAAAAGTAGATGCATTTTTAGTTAATTCAAATGACTTCCGGACTGTGTGTTCCCTGTTTTCTGTTTGATCTTTTATGTATATAGAAATGTTACCTCCCTGGGTTCTGTATTAACTAAATTGATTAAGT